ACAATCTCATCTTACTTGTAGTCTTTGGTATGATGATACAGCAGGAAAAATGAATTCTACGGATGGTAAAAACATAGGATTTGTTAAAAGACAGGAATTGATTAGTGAAAGTAAGGAAATAGAAATGATTGGTCATCTTCACGGTGACATTTTCAACCAAGATAAATTTTTAATTAATGGTGTTGAAATGAGTGTTAAATTGGTTCGATCAAGAGAGAGTTTTAATTTAATTGCTGGGTCAAACGATGTAAAGTTTGCATTACGGACGCAACTCTTATTGTTCGACGAGCACGAATTAATCCAAGTGTATTACTCGCACATCAAAAAAGTTTTAGCTTTTACCACTGCTAAATATCCTATTACTCGAGCTGAAGTAAAAGTTTTAACAATTCCATCGGGTGTTCAAGGAAAAACTCTTGATAATATATTTTTAGGGCAGGTACCCAAAAGATGTATAATTGGATTTGTGAACAATTCAGCATTTAATGGTTCCCTTACTAAAAATCCATTTAAATTTGAAAACTATGGTATTAATTCTTTCAGCTTATATATTGATGGTCAACAAATACCTTCAAAAGCTTTGCAACCATCTTTTAATAATAGTATATTTACATCAGCATATCATACTCTATTCTCGGGAACTAGTATTCACTTTCTTAATGAAGGAAATGGAATCTCTTGTGAACAGTATGCCAAATGTTACTATCTATTAGCATTTGACTTAACTCCTGATTTATCAGCCAACTCATCAGCTCATTGGAATCTCATAAAACACGGTAGTGTAAGATTAGAAGTACAATTTGAATCCTCACTAATACTTAACTTAACTGTATAGTTTATGCTGAGTTTGATAATATTATTGAGATAGATAAAAACAGAAATGTTACTGTAGACTATAGTAGTTAAGGTTATAATATGTGTTGTGTGTTAGATTTTATGAGTTATGTGTAATGCATTTTGTGTGTATGTAACACACGTCTAAAGTTTTAAGGGGTGAAATAAAAAATGAAGGTGTAAACAATTAATATATATTGTGTACTATAACTAATGTTTTTGGGAAATCAAACAAAATTTATGATAAATTGAAAATTTTATTTTCAAGCAATAACCACTTGTAAAAAACCCACACTTCGTCACAAGAACAATGTAAAATTTTGTGATTATTTTTTGCAAATATATGATTATTACACACATAACGTTTGTTTAAATTTATGACATTTACCAAATCATTGTATTTTGGACATTTGTATTCTTCAAAATTAAAAATTCTATCATTCGTCGTCAACATTTTTAAAAATTGTTTTTCTGTTGAACCACCTTTGTATGCGATCACTTCGTCTTTGCACAAATTTCTAATATACCAATTTAATATGGGGATGATGTTCTCTTGTTTGTAAGCACATTTTAATTCTTCGGTCACATCAAAATATGGAATGCCGTGCACGTTTGTTTCACAAAACGACCAGTTTTTTTTTGTCTTTTGGTGACAAATAATTGAAAGGATAACTTGGCCGAAACAAATAATGATCGATAAACGCATCATTTTTATTAGATTGTTTTACGTCTAGAATAGCCATTTCTCTACATTGAAAATGTTTATGAGGATATGTAATGTAAAATCCGTCCATGTCGATGATGTATCTAATATTTTTTTTATATTTTGTGTAATTTTGAACCAAAATGTTAAAAGTATTTACACTTGACAAAAAATATGTTTGTTCCAACAAACTTCACATAACAACGCTTCATTACTTCCCATCATCCCATTTCTTCCTTCTGCTCTTGTCTTCCTGTAATTTAAGTAAACAGAATCACATTCACTAATGATCAACTAATGACTGTCATTGTTAAAAAAGCATTTTAACTACTCTAGTATTCGAAGATGCGGTACACACACAATATTTAAATATAATTTGTTAAATTGCAAATAACAATTTAATTGGTGCCGGCGCGGATCGAACCCGGGTACTGTGAAATTTACAGCTTGCGCTAACCATCTGAGCTACCACGGCTCAATATAATACACACACAATATTTAAATATAATTTTTTAACACTAAATCATACACACGTAAGAAAATAACAGAAAGAAAAGTAAATTTGTAAATAGAATAAACACTTAAAATTGCAATTAACAATTTAATTGGTGCCGGCGGGGATCGAACCCGGGTACTGTGAAATTTACAGCTTGCGCTAACCATCTAAGCTACCACGGCTTAATCATACACACACACACACACACACACACACACACACACACACACACACACAATATTTAAATATAATTTGTTAGCACTAAATCATACACACGTAAGAAAATAACTGAAAGAAAAGTAAGTTTGTCAATAGAATAGACACTTACATCCATGGCCTTTGATGCGTTGAAGTAACATAAATGTAGATCCACTGCGGTCAAACGACCATACACTAACTCCATGACTGCACATGCTTGGTCATATATAGTACCAGTAAGTAATAATTTTAATCTAAAGAATTTCTGCAGTGGAATTGATAGTAACTTTATGCGTCAACAAGCTTATCTCACATTTTGTTGCTTATCTCAACATTATTTCGTGTCGCGTCTTGTTCAGTGTATTGATGACTCGAATACGTTTTGTATAACACAAAATAATTCAATTTAATATTTAGAAATCACTATAATTGATCATTCCTATGTTAGTCATTGAGTAGATTGTACTGTAATAATCTACTAATAGCAGTAATATCATGGATACACTAGATGTACAACAACATCTGAAAAAGATTCACCCCAGTCTAGAAAATAATGTTTATGCTGCCAATAGACCGCCCATGTACACCCACGTGCCAACGTATATAATATGCAATTTGGATACAGATGATAAAACCAGGGTCACATTGGGTAGCTTTATATATCGATACGAATGACGTCGGTCAATATTTTGATTCATACGGACGAGCACCTGTACGATATCATCTAGAGTTTTTAAAAAGGAATTGTAAAAGATGGATCTGGAATTTTGATAGGATTCAGAATGAGTGGAGTTCAGTTTGTGGCGAAAATTGCTTCATGTATTTGCTATATAAGTTTCAGGGATGTTCAATGCATAGTTTTACGAGTATATTTACAGGGAACACATTGTACAACGATATTTTAGTGGATGAGATGTTTCGCTCCTATTTTATAGTTAATAAGTAATAAGATTTTGTATTTCGTAAATAAAAATTGTAACAAAATTAGGTAATATATTTTATTGATGAATCAGATTACCGTTGCTGTTAGGAACAAAGGAGTATAATATAATAGCACTGATAATCCGACACACAAATAGACAATGACGGTATTCAATGAACAATAGATAAATAACAATGGGGCGCTAATGACGGTGGAGGCCCTCACCGGATATCAATTAGATAAGAGTTAATTGATCTGCACATCTCCGGAACCGTGCATCCTACGCAAAAACGGACGCAGATTCGTGATTAGAGCATGCCAAAACCTTTTTTTAAAGGATCGTGAGTCTCGACGAACGTTGTACCACTTCTGAATCAGTGAGCCAGAACTGGTACTAACTAACTACTCTGGTATTCTGTGAGAGCTTGGTTCGTCCCCGGTCGAGCCGACCCATTGGTGCTACAACCATAATAAAGCTGCGGCGTGGCTACCACGTATAAAAATCGTGCACAGCCATCATACATTTTAAGGGCGCACTGCGTTCTTCAGCAAATGTGAGGACTCAGGTTCACGCTTTATACCTTCAGGGAGTTCAACACTCGTAACTGAGAGCGTTTTATAATTCGACTTGTACTCGGACAGCAAGGGTCGGGATTCAACAGTATCTAGGATAGATCTAGGAGGCGTCGCACTCAATAACTCGCAAGTAGTTACTTGAGAGTATTCCGGCGACACTGTGAATGCCACAGACCCAGCAATAAAATATTCACAGAAAAAAAAACTGCGGATACTGAACGGGGTTTGCGGTTCCCGAACCAAACATTTTGTCCGGGGGTAGATTTCAAGCCTTTTCTTTGACGACCAAATTTTTATTATTTAAGTTTTTTATAAAGTAGAAAATACCTTTCCGTATTAAAGTTTGTAGTTAATGTTATGAGTAAACACAAAAGTGTAATAATGTAAATAACATAATATAACAGCCTATATACGTCCCACTCTTGGGCACAAGCTTCGCTTCCCCAATTTGTGTTGGCATGACTCTTAATCGATCGATGTTTTCTGTACTACCTTTTTGAGTTATTTTGTTAAAACGAATGTGGAGTGAATAGTGGTGATGTAGTATATATCCATATCATGCCGTGGGTTTCATAAGAGACAGAGGGTAAACTAAAATAAGAAGTGGGCAGCAGCTGCAACTGATAACAGCTCAAAATTAAAAAAATCCAACTTGGCTGCTAATCGAACTAACTATGGCTAAATTTCTCTCTATTAGGTATTAGGGAGGTCTATGTTCAGCAGTATACTCTTGATAGAAATTATTAAAATATTGTTTTTATTGCATATTACTGTATGTTTATAACATTTTCGCTGTGTAGTGTCAGAATATGAGAATTCACTAGGTTATTGAATTATCTTATTAACCCGCCGTTGGTCTCGCTCAATTTTTGTAACAGGGTTGGTCACGTGGGGTATGCATCACATGAAACATATAAAAATAAACATGATTTTTATAAAATCTATGGCTTTTTTATAATTAATTTAGGATTTAGTAAATAGTTTAGAGTATAAAGAAATAAAAATCACGTATATTAATTTAAGAAGTGTTTATTTATAATTTTTTTAACTATTAAAACAGCACAGAAGCTTTTGGGCACGTTTTTATAGGAATCTATAATAAAAATTATTAAAAATAAAAAATAAATCAACAAAAACTTTTCTTCTACCAAAATTAAATCTTCATAAAGTAGACAACTATACGAGATCAAAAAACCTGTAACTTACAATAAATACATAAAACCATAAGCTGAAATTTACAATTTGTATGCTAACAATGCTGAGATACATTTTTATGGGAATCTATAATAAAAATTATTAGTGATTAAAATTATATCAAGAAAAACTTTTTTCTCACAAAGTTTAATCTTCATAAAGTAGATAATGATATGAGATCATTATAACTAGTAAAAAAAACATGCTGACTGTTACAATAAGTATGTTCAGATACATTCTTCACAAATATTTTTGCAGTGCCTAGGGCATACATTTTTTTTACACTTGTAGCATAGTGTAAAATATTTTCTGTCCATTTGGCGTGGGCAGTGTACACATCGTCTCTTCTTCGGTTGCGGTTCTTCTTCATCTTCCTCTATTTCTTGAACTTGAGTTGTTACAAAGCGCATTATTGTGTTAGATAATTCTCGGGGCAAATTTTTCATCGTGCTTCGGCACTTTAGTTGAGTTTCGAATAATGAATAAGCTAACGACTTTATAAAATTCCTCCGCGTAAGACTCGTGTTAGGGTTTAGGCCATCGAATATGATATGCGAATTCACAACTCCAATATCGAGTAAAGTAAAAAATAGACGCAGTGGCCATCTATAACAAGTACGTGCAACGGAGTAATTCAACTTCAGGCGATCCACAACGTCAACCCCTCCTTTTGTATTGTTGTAAAATGATATAATTTCTGGTAATTTTTCCGGTTTTGCGTCGTTTACTGAAGCATCATTATGCATAGTTGAAAGTAAGAGAACTACTTTATTCTTCTTTGGACAATATGATACTAAGGTACTATGATGCTTGCCGAATCCAAATAAAGAAGAATAAACCACTCGCCCCTTTTTCTTGAAATCGCTAGGTATTTCTCGTTTATTTTTTTATTGTTCCAACAATAGTCAAATTGTGCTGCATCACCAAATCTTCAGCTAGTGGAAAACACTAGTGTACCAATTATCCATGGTGATATTGCGACCCGTTCCAGATATTGGTTGAATCATTCGCTTTGTGATAGCCATCGTAGAATTGTCAACAGCATACAGCCCTACAGGTTGAACTCCCACATACACCTCTAAATTCAGGGTATAAAATAAACGAGCATCAACCAATGCCTGTATTTTTAGGCCATATTTTGCGGGTTTTTTAGGCATGTATTGCCTGAAACTACACTTTCCCTTAAAAGCTTCTAACATTTCGTCCAGTGTTACGTACTCACCAACAGTATAACACCATTGACAAGCCTGTACAAACTCTTCAAACAATTCTCTTATGGGCGCTAATTTATCTTCGATCCTTCGCTCGTCACGGGTATTCCTGTCATCGAATCTGAGATTGCGCAAGAGAAATTTAAATCTTTGTACTGACATTACAGCTCTACAAATATCTAATCCAGTCCCATCTGGGTTGAAAACATCCGAGATACGTACATGTGATGATTTGTATAGACCAATGAGATATAATAAACCTATCAAAGCTCTTATTTCAATCATGTCTGTTTCAGATGAGTCTCTATCTCTTTGATAATTAAATTTTTGCGATTGTATTTTCTGATTAGTGTAAAGAACAACCTTTTCTAACCATTCTTTTGAAAATAGCAATATCCAGGCTTTTTCAGCAGTATCTGCTCCTCTACATATGGCTTTAGGTCCTGGCAAATGGGTCACGATGTTCTGACTGCGGGTGCGACATGTTGGTGGCGGCGGTTGCTTCCTCCATCTGTAAATTACTTCAGTCTTACCATTTCTTAATTTTCTGTGCACCACGTAACACTGTGAAGTTTGCAACTGAGACAAGGGAACGTCATCTTCGCTACTTGAACCAATGTTCTGATTTTCCGTAATAGCTTCTGGTTCTGAATCGCATTCTTCTTCTGTATCAGTTTCGTGCTCACTTATTTGGGGCTCTATTTCATCACCACCTTCTTCATCATCTTCCCCACCAATTACATCTTCATCTGAATCTTCTTCCAACCAGTTTTTACGTTCCTCTTGTGTCAAACTCATTTTGTACTTCTAATAATAATTGCACTTTTATAATGTCGTTGGTCGCGTGGGGTCAACTGACACCCGTTCACGAAAAATACGTCCGTAGCGTTCAAGTGCACGGCGCATACTGAATGGTCACTTGTTTGTGTCGCGTATTTAGTCGTTATAGGAAGGTAGCTAGAGTTTGGATGCGATAATAATATTAGTATTTTAAATATTAAGGAAATAAACTTTTGACGGGCGTTTATTCGCCCCACGCGACCAACGGCGGGTTAAGAGAGAAAAGAAACTGTCTGTGACACTGTAAGAATGTCCACTATCCCTACATCATCCCGTGGGTGTCGTGATAGGCGATAGAGGGAAATAAAACTGGAGATAGGCATTAGCAGTTCAGCTGCAACTTCCTGATAACAACACAAAGTAGTAAAAAATTTCAGGTTTCTTAGTCCTCAGGGGTTTTCATAAAAAAAATACTGCAACACCAAAGTCAAAAATTATTGTATTATTTACTTAAATAATGGTTAAAAAACAAATATTGTTTATTTTACATATTGAATTTCAAAAACCCAAGATGCCTTTAACTTTCTACTGCTCTGTTCTTCCCGAATAATATTAAAGAATTTTATTAGAAATTTACTAAATTTATTAAAAAGAAATCTTTTACTTACATAAGCCGAATATTAATTTTCTTTTTAAATGGCAATTTAAGAAACTTATAAATTAATCCCTGGAATTAATCCCTGGTGGCATTTCTTTTAATGCCACACATTAAAAACCCTGGCTCACTGTTACAGCTCGGTAAGATTTCATCTAAATTTAAATGTGTAAATGTCAGTTAATGTTGTCAGAATGTCAGTTAATCAGTTGAAACATTTATTAAAATAACTTACTATAACGTGATTAAAACTTAGCTTACAGGCACATTACAGTACTAATGAGTATGTTGCCAACACTGGCAATAACAATTAAAACTTATTTTTCTTTAATGTTTTGTATTACGGAGAACAGAATTCTTCTAATATGCGCAATTACATGTTCATTTAAAAAGATTACATATTTAATAAAACATATGATCAAGTCTTTATATACCAAATTTACAAACTGTGTTGGCACCGCATGTTTGCACAATATGCTCCCACATGTATTTGTAAATTATAAAAAAATTGCATATTATACTCTTACCTTGTTACAATACTACCCAAAAAAGCCGATTAACCACTCTGTTCTGCTAGCACACTATCCTCAACATTTCAGCGACATTATTAGTGAGCGTAGTAGAAAACTTTAAGTTATATTTTACATTTGAGACCTAAGTAGCAAAACAAGGTAAGTTCGTGTGTACCGATCTGTCTCCAACCTCAGGATGCAAAAGAGAATGGTGGTTTCGTTTGCAAGTCCTATACATAGTATGATGCATCGCTTAGCGGTATGTTTTTTTCCCGGGACTCTGAGTCTAATTTATCATTAAAGATTTTACTGCCTTGTATAAAATTAATAGGTCTGGATGTCCTTTTAATTATTTAATCAATGTTAACAAATCAGTCTTCTTTTTTATTTGAGTGATTAATTATGTGAATATAAATATTTGTAAAATATTGATTATTAGTAAAGAAGTTATTTTTATAATTCTTAAACGTTAGAAATTAAAAGTTGAGTCTCAACTATTTTTATATAGGAAATAGCGTAATGTAGTTGATAAAAGAATATCGTAAAAAAAGATGATTAATCGTTTAGAAACTTGACATAAAAAGAAATATTTATACTTAATAATCTAACACTTGTATAGGGATTGGGATATAACAGTGCGTGCGATACCGTATATACTTTCATATGCATTTAGTAAAAAGCTTTTATTTGGACAATACAAACAGACACTTCAATTTTACTTATTTGTATAGATTTAGTATGGAATCGTCACAATAAGTAACTACAGAAAAAAGTTTGTGACCCCTTACTTTTTACTTTTTACTTGCAATATTTTTAGTGCGACGATACGTCCCGCTCGGTGTGGGACAGTATCCAACTTTTAGGCTACATATCCCGCTGTCTCCAAAATACGTATTAAATGACTGGTTTTGACAAAGATAACGTAGAAGCATGCAAGCCCTATCAACCGTGCCAATATTGTGTGTCCATACTACGCGTACCAGCTTTGTCGGCGTGGCTAGACTAAAAATTATGTTGACTAGACAAAGTTGAAAAGTTAAATTTTTTACTAAAAGTTACGAATGTAAATTTTTTAATTATGATAAAACATTAACTTTCTTTTCCGAAGAATTTAAAAAGCCAGCTCATCTGACTTTATAAAATTAGGGCTTTGTTTAATTTTCGTTCATAAAAGATTTAATAAACATGTGTTTTTAACAAACCATAATAAGTTTAGGGCGGCCCGGACTGAGGGTCTATCAAGTTAGGCACGGTTTGTGAATAATTTTAACAGACGTCAGATACTAAGAATATTACGCTTTGATGCCTTATTATACTGTCTTGATAGAAGTTTAGTGGAACGAGGGCATAAACATTTATTCGATCTCATTATCACTCGTCAGGTTGATGATATTTCCATGATGCAATGAAATTCTAGAAACATACACACGAAACGTTTGATTAGATTTATGTGAAAGAGCTTAAACCATGTTTAAATATATAAAGCTATTTACATATATAATTAATTCTGACAGAGTTTGCTCTGCGAGCATACTACATTGCAAAACTTCCTAACTACGTTCAGAACTAGAAATTGGAGAATAAAGTTAGATCAAATTAAACGTGTCGTAATCCTACATTCGTGTTGTGGATTAGATCGTACATATAGAGTCGTAATGAAATTCGTAAATTATAAAATTGATTGATTAAATAGGTGTGTTTCGTTATGAATTTTTACTAAAATTAATAGTTAATGCATTTAAAAAGAAGAAACACGGGATTCAGATATAGGTAATACCATACTAAAGTAGCGTAACGCCATGTTGTGGTGCCGTAAGAGAATTCACTACCCCATATCATCTCGTGGATGTTGTAGGAGGTGACGGACGTGAATGAAACAGGAGATGGGCAGCAGCATCTTCCTGATAACAAGTCAAAATTATAAAAATGTGCGGTTGCAAACCCATCCAGCCAAGCATATAAAGAAATCCCCCCTATGAGGTAATCAATGGAGGAGTAGAAGTGTTTGTTTGTTCAGCATTGAACTTTTAATAGGTTTTACAATTAAAAAATAACAAAAACCGTTTCAATGACTTCAATTAGATTATCCCATTTATTATTAAATCCTTAAATATAGTTATATGAGTATTTTGGGCTACAATTACAGCTCCAACCATTAATTACTATAAAAGATATTATGGATATATTTGTTTTATATAGACTGATTAGAATATCATAATTTTTAATATACCTAATATGAATTGAAAAACTGCAATCTATCAAGATATATACCATATTTTTTACGTGTTTTTTACGTCGTAGAGCCATGCTGCAGTTATATTAGTAGTATAGTTGTAGCACAAATGGGTCGGCTCGACCGGGGAAGGACCACGTTCTCACGTGTGTCAAATAGTAGCTTAATGCTACTGTGTTCCGTATGGTGAGTATAGAGAACCGGAGACCCTTTTTACTGGAAACGAGGCATTCCACCTTAGTCCTCACGGATGACAACGCATCAGCATTTTGATTCGTAATCGAGGATAGATGTAGATGTCTATGGGCCACAGCAACCCCTTACCATCAGGTGGACTGTGTGCTCGTTTGTCATCCTATCCTATAAAAAAAATGTGTACGGCGGGAGTTGTAACGAGTGCACATAATCGTTGCGTTTCACAGTCTTCGTCTACATTAGTTGAATATTTTTCCACAATATGGTTGAATGTCACTTGGTAACTTAGAGCTCATTTTTCAATCGTCACATAAAAGTTTCCCCATCAAATGTATTATAACCTGTGACCTGACTGAATGTAAAAGTGAACCAATTAAACTATTTCATTTATGCAACTGATTTTTTTAAATTTGTTTATATTATATTTCATCACGCATAAATTTTATCTAAGAATTGAAATATCGGCTCGGTAGTCACTTGTTAAGTTAATGTGAGTCGTATGGGCTACAACTACAGTAACATCACTATAGGTATCATATTAGAATTTATTTTATTCAAATAATATAAAATAAGATTAAAGACGTCAATATATTATTTTTATTTCGTTTTTAAAAAAGTTACCTCATAGTAGAATTTTCTCCTGAATCGTAGTGGCGGTTTATATACATAAATTGCACAAGGACTCGTTAAAATATATAAAGAAATAAAATATAAAAGAAATTTTTTATGTTATTTCTTATTATATATCTTATTATTATATATATTCAAATTAGAATGATTCAATGAGTTTTCACAAAAAAGTTAATATTTTCAGTTATGAATTTTTAAAGGTTGGAAAAATCTCGATCATTTTTACCGATTAAAAATGTATAAAAAATGTTTTTTTTATTTGCGCTTAAGAATATTATTAACTATTATCTAAAAATATAAAAAACTATCTTGTATATTTTATTCTTTTTCTTTATTTAAGTATTTTTAATTTGATAAAAATAATCCAATTTGTGGTTTTTCAAACCTTTAAAAATTCGTAACATATTTGTATTTCATCAAAGAATATAATGTCTCGTTGAAAAATAACAATTGAAAAAAAAATCGGTTTCAACAATATTACGGCACCGAGTTGCCCCATAGCAACATGCATTTATAACATCAGTTGGATAATTTGAAGAGAATCGTATAAAAATTGAGGTGTAATAGTTTTCAGTACTCATGCGCCGATTCCTCCTGGACTATGTTATTTTCGAAAATTAACAACATCCATAAGTCCAATGACTTATCAATTGAACTACTTAAAACTTTGATATTATAAAATACAGTGAGTTATATTAATTATTTTTTTTCAAATATTCAAAATATACATAGTATTGAATAATTTTCTTTTTTTTAACTTTATTTCAGGAAGTAACTTAATCAGAATAAACTT